AGACAAATCACAGACCATCTTCTCTGCCATTTATTTACCACTGACTCCTTTTATTATTGTTCAGGACTGGAAAGGTTTACCAATTTTACATCTTCTAAATGCTAGGTATTATTATAACAGCCAAATCAGAAAAACATTTGCTTTAAAAAATTACCCGTAGCAGTCCCAACATTTCTTTAATTCAGGTCCCCTGTAATTAATTACTCAATCAGGATGATGAAAAGAAAATGCCTAGTTGAAGTTGTCTGCAATACCTCTCTTGTAATTTTCACATAATGACAGAATCAAAAGAGAAGCTTCATAATGAGTTTTCTTTTCCTTATGGAGGATATAGTCAGAAATCAAATCTTACAGAAGATGAAGTATATAGTCTAGCCTTAGGGCACAGAGAAATGTCACAGGAATAATACAAGAAAAGAGGGAGTATTTTATCACACAATAGATTTGCTGAAAACTATCCTTCTGACCCAACCAAAAGACTTTGGAGAAGTCATCCCTTTGACCCACTGTCCCTTCAGGGTGATTTGGAACCTAAGGTGGGCATGAGAATGGTGTCACTGGCCGACTTCAAACACAATGCCTTTATAATTATAGACACAATGGGAGAAGGCGTGTAATGGAACTAAAGGCAACCTGCTCCTGGCATTTATGTGACAGGCAGTCTGTCCTTGTGGGATTATGGTTTCAAGGCAGTTTTCAAAACTTCCTATAGGGAAATGTCTACAAACAAGACAAAATAACAACAAAAGAGACCTTACACTGAAGCACTGGCTTGACCTGAGACATAAGAGTTCCTTGAAGTCACATCTGTTCACTATAGCTCACTGCACCCATCTGGAAGATGGACACAAGAGATGAGCCTATATAATGAGGTCATTTTTCCAATAAAATGTCAAAATCTTTTATGCGGGACTTCTGTCATGCTCTGAAACAGCTGCAAAATATGTTGGCTTATTCCTTTAGTGAAAAAAAATCAAGGCATAATTTTTAGATATTGTGGTTGATACATTGTGTCAACTTGTCAAGCTTAGAGGGCTAACTAAGTGACTGACTAGGGCCGGGTCCTCACTTTGTATCACTTTGTATCCTGAGCCTGTGCAGGAGGAGGGCATTGAGAAAGTGTGGGTGGAAAGCCCCCACCCCCAGGCAGATAGGCTGCATACAGTGAAAGGGAAATGAGGAGGGACTGACTGCTGATTCTTCAGAGGAGCTCTAGTCTTTGCCTTCAGCTTGGTCTGGTCTCCTGGCTTCTGGCGCAAACTGTTTGGCTTCTGCCTGGGTCTCTTCAGCCTTCTGGTATAGACTCCTCTACCTCCGTCATAGATTCTTCAGCCTTTTGTCTCAGACCCACCAACCTTCTGATACAGATTTGCATGGACACTGCAGTGAGCTCCAGACCTTGGACTGCAGCCTTCAGCCTTCAGTGTGCTGACATCCTCTGCACACTTCCTCATCCAACTCTGTGGAGACCGTCATAAACCAAACTTCTAATTTCTTACACATTTATATCTATTTCTCTAGTAAACCCTGACAGATACAGAAGTTAAGGGTTTCAGGTCATGGCAGAGATTTCTGGAACTAGCAGACAGTGATCTGTCAGCATGGAGATTACCAATGAATTCTTCTCCCTTCACCTTCCTCCTGCCTTCCTTTGCCATCTCTCTCTATGTATCTGTCTAATGCATACATTTGGGTGAGAGTTCAAATGAGAATGAGTAGGACAGAAGAAATAAAAAAGATAAAATGGAGACAAGGAAATCATAACTAAAAATTCCCCATTTAAGATGATTGCAATTTTCAGGACCCAGTGAAGGATATTCAACAAGATTCATGTCAGCATTCCTTTGGGTTAAGTTTAGGCTCCTGTCGTAGTTACTATTTTCTCATTGCTGAGACAAAATACCTGACACTCAAAGTTAAAGGAGGAAAGGTTTACTTAGCTCACGTTTGTAGAGGTTTCAGTCTGCAATTGGCTGGCGGTAAGGCAGGGTGGCACATGGCAGAGGGGCAGCCATTCATGGTGATGGAAGACATCAAAAGCAACAAGAGAGAGGAGAAGAAACTGGCCTCTTTCTGCCCCTTTTATCTTATCCAGACTTCTGGGATTAGGGCAGTGCCAAACCAATCAGTGGATTGATCCATCAATCACCCACCCTTATTTCCGGCACCCTTAATCCCAGCATTGAAACATGAATCACAAATGCTGGATTCAGCTACCTCCAAAAAAGCCCCATTTAAAAGTGCTTTGTGGGGGTTACATCTAGGTACAACCATAACAACTTCTTTCCTTCCAAATTCCTTATACCTAAAATTTCTCAGGAATACTGAAAATCCATTAATTGGCTTAATTAAGTAAAGAGCAAGAGTCTGATTGTAAAATAAAGGAATAGAATGTGACTATTCAAAGAATATTTAAATTATCTATCTAAAAAAATACACACACCACACACACACACACACACACACATATACCATACTGGGTCTATACCTGCGGGCTAGTAACCTTAATATAGATGGTAAAACTAAGGCCATGAGGCCACTCCCCTCCACTCACGTGAACTTGGGCCATGCCCCACAGCCACCCCTTACTCTGTTCTAAAGGAAGCAGGAATAAGAATAACAAAGACCTCTGAAAATTCCTAAAGTTCCAGGCCAGGGCGCCTGACCGTTAGATTCCTTGGCGTAACCTGCAATGAAATTTCCTCAGTTGTTAATAGTGCACACCTATGGACTGCATGTTATGCATACAATTAGTGGATGACAGTAGCGAAAGGACATGCACAGTAGGTACAAGGGAGATGACTTTGCACCCTGTCAGCCCTGCTGGCGACCATATCCTGAAGGACCCAATGAGGGTTGCCCTATGCTGAATGTACATTTTTAAACCTAAAGCCCAACATATTCCCTGCCCTATGCCATATTCTCCTCTCTGTTGTGCTATCTTTCTTTTTCTGCTGCAACAAACCTACTCACTCTGAAGACACTTTCCCCCATCAACTTCATTAAATTTAGCTGCCTTTTCCTTACAGCTGTGTGTGTAATTGAAAAGGAAATTACAAAGCCTGCAAAGAAAGCCCACCAAAAATGCCCACCAAAGCCTAGCACAATGTCTGGATAAGCTTGATAACAGAATGTTCTTTCCTTTGTGTAATCCTTGTGTCTACTGCCTTTGCGTAACTGATGCTCCTGCAATGTAACCTGAGATGTCTTACTGCCTTTGTGAAACTAATGGCCTTGCAATGTAATTTGAGATGTTTAAATTCCTTCAGCCACCTATGTCACCCAGTCCTTCAATCACACAAATCTGCCTTTGTACCTCCCTGCTTGCTTTCCCATAAAAGCCCTGTGACCCCATGGGGAGGTGGGGAGGGCTCTGACTCTTTGGGAGAGATCCCAGTCAAGCCCACTGTGTCATAAACTGCCTCCTAACCCTTCTCAGTACCCTTTCTTCTCTTGTCTGGTCTGTTCTCCATAACATAATGTTCAGTACTTTGTCCCTCGCCCATAAGAAGCTGGAGTCTGTCTCCTAGTGGCCCATCACCTGCTGTGTTGACTTTCTGGGCAGGAGCACCTTGTCCTGGGGTTAACACTCCTTTAAGAGAGACATAAATGTTCCCATAAGTAATGTACTTCTTTCTCTGGAAGGCCCACTCTCTCTTTCTTTGGGTGTTTACTTAAATTTCTCCCTAATAAAACTGTTCCCATGTCCCTTACAGTCTAGTCCTGAAAACTCTTTTTCCATGAGGAAAGTCAGAGAACCTGCAAAGCTATTCTATGGGTAGCATGGTCAAGTGCCTTCTTCAACTGCAAGAACCTCGTTGGGCTTTGTCTGGTGACTGCATATCTTTAGCACAGGGCACATTATGCAAGGCAGCCTATGCATGGCTCGTGATGTGGGCCAGTAAAAGAATTTACCAAGGGACAATGAAGGTAGAAAGGACAAGAGTTCATTTAGATTAAGATGTACCTCCAAGGGTGGGAGTCAGAGAGAGACTGCAGTCAAGACGAGAGATTGGGGTTTTTAGGAGGGTTCTGGAAACATGGAAAAGGATCTGGGCAGCGAATGTGACTATCAAAACCAGATCCTTTTCCTAGATCAGTTAGCACTTTGTAGATTTTCCTGGAGGACCAACATTGAGTTAAAACTGTGTGTTTGAAATTGCAATTTTCAAAAACCACTCTACTCTGGCCCATAACAGATCTTTAGCTTTTGATAAAGGCATGATAAGGTGATCTATGCATATATTTGAGAGATGAGAGGTCCTGCCACTTTGGGAGGAATAAATAGAACTGACATTAAAGATTTGTTGCTATCTTATGACCACCTACTGAAAGCGGGATATCTTTAACAGGAGTTCCTCTTTAGAGGGTTTTAACCTGGAGTTCTGTAGTTGAGAGTGTGAATCCTTTGCATTGTCAAGGTCTTATTAGCAGGGTATCTGTTCACCAGTGTATGTAGTCTGTACCTTGCTGATGTAGATCACCTCCTTTTTCCTGATTGGGCAATGAAGTGGGAAGACGGGTGCTGGATAAGATGAAGCACCTTCAATCAGAGATGAAAATAGGGTATGGAGAAAGGACAGAGAGTTTTGGTTGCAGAGCTATAATGCATCACTCACAACTGTGTGACCTCAAGAGGTCAGCTCACACTCACTTACTGTCTTTGTCTGTGAAATGAGTGGAATTTTAGGAGTGAGATAGCACAAAGGCTGTTAGGATCATTAAATGACTTACTATTCATCAGGCACATAGAATAATATCCATAAATGTTATTTAAAAATGTGAAGATAAGTAAAATTGGATTATCTTTATTATGTGTGTCAGTTGCCCCTATTTAAATTTGGCTTGAACTTATGAATTAGGAAATGTGTTTCCCTAATTGGCCATTTTAAAATTGATTTGATTGCTACCAGCTTTATTACACTGCACACACAAATGGCTGATAGGATTCTGTCCCTTTAATAACCTAATTAAAAGGAAAAAAAAGCAACAAGAACAAATTGGCCATGTTCTCACATTTAGTTTGTTACACAGAGCCCCGAGGAGTGACCACATGGGATGAGATGCAGTTTCTCAGGCAATGACTCCAGGTAGATATTCTGTATTCATTTAGCGACAGGAACATGTCCAAAGTCTTCCACAGACAGAGAAGGATGCCCGCTCATCCTGGGGACGTCTCTGAGGACAATAACCCATGGAGAATGGAGAGCAAAACCAAAGAGATATCAGCAATAATGTGGGAATAACCAACCATTTTAGGGCAGAAAATCTAGAGAATATACAAAACCACCCCCTTTTCTTTTGGAGGCAGATTCTCCCTGCGTAGCCCAGTCTGAGCTCACCTGTTTTTCTTTTTTCTAGTTTTTAAATGTTTCAGTCCCTACGTATTCGAAGCAAAAAGAAAATTGACATTTTCAATCTTCATTTAAACAATGTTAGAAATCAAACTTTCTGTGTTTTAATTTACTTCTAAACACATTTATTTTATATATAATGCATGTTTCACAGAGAATTACAGTAGTAAGAGATCTCCATCTAATTTTAGAAGGTTTGGATAAATTGGAATGTGATATGCAAGGCAGATGAACAAAGGAGACTAGCCCAAAGGGAACATGCTGTGGAATTCCCTCTGGAGTCCATTCTCAGTTCTGTATGGTATTTTGTCTCTTGGTGCCCATAGGCATACCTGAGCAATTATTATTATTACTATTGTTATTATTATTACCTGGAGATGAGCTAAAGTGGATCACACAAAATGTCTGTGATTATACCTGACATTTAGTAGATACTTAAAGTATTTATTACTTTCCCTTTATTACCAGAGAAGGCAGACAATATATGAAGTACTACCAGGTACTAAGAAAAGTTTAATAATTGCTTGTTAAAGTCAGTTGTCTATGCCTTGAGTGCAGTTAGTAATTACATATGATCACAGGTGGACAGCCATGTTATCTCTCCTACCTGAATCAATACTGTGCAGAAATTTTTCTTAAAAATATTAGAAGACCAGGCATGGTGGCACACTCCTGTAACCCCAGCACTTGGGTGGTTGAGGCAGGAGAATTCCTGCAAGTTTGAGGCCAGCCTGGGCTACATAGTGAGTTCAAGGTCAACCTGAACTACATAGTGAAACCTTGTCCCTAAAAGACAAAAAAATTATAGATAGAATTTTGGATTATATGAACTATCAGATTTTCAACTTTCCTTGTTGATGTTCATCAAGTATATTAAAGTATTTTTATGTCTATACTTTTAGTATCCCAAAAGCCAAAACACTACAGTGTTTAGATGGAATCACATAATCTTTAGAAATATCCAAATTTTATATTTGCAGATTTAATTAAGGCTTAGTAAATAGAAATATAAACTTCAAAACCACCAGTCTATCAAAAAATGGGGAGACTCAAAGGGGAGATATTTGTATTTTGTGATCTGATTCGTGGAAAATCTGCTGAAGTGAGCACTGGTCTACTAAATGGATTATTTATTTTTATAAAAAATCAGGCATTTATTATTAACAAGTACCTTGGATTAAAGCAACAGTCTCTTCTCTGTAGGAAAGGCTTGAAGGAGCATAATGTAGTGAACAAGAGTTTGGTTTCCCAAGCTGCCACCAGTCACCCTGGAGAGGGGTCTCAGAGCAACCCCAGACTCTTTATCAAGTATCTCCCTTGTTGATTGCTTAGCCCAGTCCCTCAGTGGAGGCACTGTGTGGTCGATTCCAGTTTTTTCATCTTCTCTACCCCAGTAGAAGATAACAGATGGAGGCTCCTTTCACCCATCTACCCCAAGCTGTGCCCACGCTTGCTCCCTGCATTGCAGTGAACTGAGGCCTCTCGAGTGACTGCCAGGGCCCTCGTGAAAGCTCCTCGTGGCTGGCTGTTGCCATGGTGCTGAAGCCTCAGCTCCAAAGGGCACCCAGAGCCTCTATGAGGTGCCTTCAGTCCAAGCACCTCTTCTCCTCCCTGACAACTGTTCCCCATTCTGTGCTCCGTGTTCTAACACTGTGGGTCACCATGCTTCAGGAATGCTCACTTGTTCTCTATCCACTTTCTTTTTCTTTCTTCTCCACTTTAAGAAGCACCTACACTCCCCCGCTCTTTCCCACAAGTACTCCTTCCTTTATATAGAGGTTTTTCTTATGGCATCTCATTCTTCCAAATATGCTTCTATTTCCCTCACAGTTTCTTCTATAACACGTCAAAGCATAGCAAGTGATGTACTTGCGTGTTTGCTTTCTTCATGAGACAAGAGCCCTTTTGGATGAGATGCCAACCAGATGATACAGGGTAGGAGCCTTGGCCCTAGAAAGGGCTACTTTTCCAATTCCCTTTGGTGTCTTGGCACTGCCCTTTAAGTCTTTTAGCATTCTCAGGACTCATCCCATAAAATGTTATATTTTAAAACAAAATAAAATTATGGTAATATTTTTAATAAACTGATAATTATGAAAATAAGTGTGTGGGTAACTGGATGAGCTAATTAGTGAATACAAGAATGAGGAGATAAATCCAAAAATAGCACCACTTTTTGTTTTTATTTTTCCTCGTGTTGGGGCTCAGACCCAGGGCCTCACTCATATTAGGCAAGTGCTGCATCATGGAGCTGCAATTCAAGCACCCACTTACTTTCTTTTTGATTTCCGTATAACTATGGTGCAGATCCTGATCCTGTAAGCATTGCATGATGCTGAGTTTGTGCAGCTCTGGGTGTAGGGTCCGGTTAAGAGATATAGCTGGGTAGAGGGAGCTTTTGTATAAATTCTCCCATCTTGAGAAAATGGGGTCTGGTTTTGGGCCCCCAGGGTTGCTTACTGGCTGAGGTCTACCCTACGGGTAGAGAAGGGTGGTGTGAAATGGGTAGCTTGGATTATCACCAGACAGAAGTCACAGCAGCTTGGAGAAGGTAGCACCAGCCTGGACAACTCTGCAAAAACATAACATTCTGTGGTCACTGGATAAGAACCTGGGTACCATGAGCTGAGATGGGCATTCCCTGCGAGCTATCTGGGCATGTCCTTGCCACTGTCCCATGGCAATTCTCCAGGCCTTCCTTTTGAAATTTCTTTTCACACAGGCACACACAGACCCAGGCACCAGGCACAGACAACACCGGCCTTAAATTTCAAACATGTTTCTCACAGAGCAATTATGAGTGAGGAATACAAAGGGTATGAGGTTAATGGGTTCTGACTAAAATCATGTAGATACTGCTAATGTGGAGGTTCTGCCTCCACTTCAGAATATGAGAACCTCAATTTTGCTGTCCACATTAGAAGTGAAAGTGTAATGTAATTTTTCATTAGTGATTTTCCATTCATAGACTAACAATATAAAACATTTTAGTGTCTTATTAGTAATGTTCTCACTGTTATTGTTAACTCACTTCAGCAAACTGTATTGAAAAGTAAATAATTTTGAAAATGACAATATTGTCTATTGAAATCCATTTAAATTTTTTCCTGAAATATGCTAGTTCCAAAGAGATGGCAATATAAAAGGAATATATTAGTATGGAAAAATTTAATATATGAGCTGAAAGAAATTTTGTGAAAAGCAAATTAGTTGTATTGCTATCAAATTAGCAGGATAAATAAGGAAGTGAAAGAGTACATGGCAATGAATTAGTGATAAATAAGGAAGGAGGAAGCGGAGGAAAAGCAGAGAGCTCCTACAGCTGCACTGCATTTATTTGTACACGTGGGAGTTTGAATATCACGTGAAACCTCTCTGCCTAATAGCTCATCCACATGGCTTGTCTCCAGCCATGGACTGTTTTCACTTACCTTTAATCTTTATGCAAAAAGGGAAGATTTTGTTTGCTTGCTTTAAAACATATTTTAATACTTAATTCTACTTATTCAGAGATTAATTTTTTCCTAGTTTTAAATTCTAGTCTGAAAGTAAAACTCTAGAAGAAAAATATTAATGAAAATGTAGAGATGCTATTAAATACCTGAGGATGTATCAATTTCCTGGGTGGGGTAATGGTACATTTTAAAAGTATGCAGTTGTATAAAAAATATCAAATTTCACAAAAGTGTTTATATTGTAATAAAGAAAGTGACAAGCTCACAACAAAATATGTGAAGGCTGATTCCATACTTTTGGCAAATATATTGGGGGAGGTCAAGGTTCTGAAAATAGACACAGGAAAACACACCATCTCTGGGGTAAAAGAGATTGCCTAAGGTAGGGACCATTGATAGATTTTACCTTTTTCACCCCTTTGCATTTTCTAAAGGATATATTTCAATTATATTATTTAATAAAAATATTAAAAAAGAAAATGTCAAAAGTTTAAGGCAGTTTATGAACATTAACTTTCAGTGCATTTACTAATTTAAACTTTTTTCAAAAACAGAACTAATCTAAACTCTGGGATAGTGAAATAAACCAAACATGAGAGTCTGGTGTCTTCCTTTCATATTTAACTTTTAGATGTACTTCTACTCTATTCTGTGCAGGTCTTTCCTGAAATCCTTCCTTGGCTCTCCAAATGTGAAGCTCATCACCTGCACAAGTGTCTTACCTATTGCACCTTTTCAGCTTTCTATCGAGGCTCAGCATTAGTCCCAACACCTATGCATGACACAATCTCTTGGTAGGAGAGATCTTTCTTTATTCTTAATTCCTGAAGTACCACCCAAGGAATGAGAGGCATGGTATCAGATGTGCCACTCAATTTTTTTGATCAACAATTTTTAAACCTGAGGCAGTTTTCTTATTTCTCAGAATAAAATGAAGATTGCATTTAGTTTTTAGAATTTTCAGAGAATACTTACACATCTACCAAGGCAATACTTGGAATACAAGGTGTCATTAATTTTTATTTCTTTCTTCCTCCTCTATACCCTTTGGGGAGTAGCTGAGGAAGGAGATAAATCAAGGCAAGTCATGTGAATAAGCTACTCTAGTCTCAAGGATACAGTATGCTGGAGACAAGCCATGTGGATGAGCTATTAGGTGGAGAGGTTTCACATGATATTCAAACTCCCACGTGTACAAATAAATGCAGTGCAGCTGTAGGAGCTCTCTGCTTTTCCTCCGCTTTCTCCTTCCTCCCTTCCTCCCCTCCTCCCTTCATTCCTGTCAGGAGGGCTGCATATGGCCTCAGTTTTCCTCACTCTGACTCTTGTGCTTTCTTCTCTAATCCTCTCATCATCTTCACCCTGGGAATATTCAGAGCTGTACGAGGACAGAATTTGACACCTGAACAGGTATGCAGGGAGTGAGGAAATGCATTAGATAACAGGTGAGAGGAGAATTCCAGCTGTGTGCACACTAGAGAAATAAGCTGAGGAGAAGCCAAAAAGAGAAATAAGCTTAAGGGAACCCAGAGACAAATAGGCTTAAGAGAAGTGAAAGAGACAAATGGGCTTAAGAGAACTAAGAAAGAAAGGTGTATTGATTTCATCAAGTGTTATACATGAAGCAAGTAAGTTCTCTAGAACAACAAGTGTATATACAAATCCTTATTCTATTATGGATTCTTGTACTTACTTTTCTTCTGTGGACCTGATCAGTGAGTGCCTCCATGGTTATGTGCCTGTTGAGATGACTGCAGAAGATTATGCTTCGAGCACTATTTTAAAACCAAGACTCAAGCAGAAAATGAATAATAAGGCAACAGCCCCACCTATAGAGCTTGAATCCTCTAGCTTGACCCAATCAGATAAGCAAGGAATTGTGGGGTTAAAAAAGACCTTCCCCCCAGAGGAGCATTTCACTGCAGCTTCAGTTTCACAGCTGCCCAAGGTAAAACTGACAGCATTAACTGCTTCACAAGTGCCAGCTTCCGCCTCTTCAACTCAGAGAAACTTTGCTACATTACAGGTTGAATCTTCCACGACTCAGGGAGTGGAATCATCCTCTCTTTCTCCCTTGCAATTGGTGTTAAAGGAAGCCAGTCAGGCCAGGGAGTCTATGGTGGGATTTCAACAAAACTACCCTGTTGCTGAACTCCAAATCCCTAATAATCCGGGACAGGTCAGACATCTTCATGAAGCCGTATCTTTTAAGACACTGAAAGAATTAAAACAAGCTACCACTACCTGTGACACCATGGCCCCTTTTACCTTAGGTTTAACAGAGCTTATAGGACAAGTTATGACCCTAAATGATTGGAAAGAAATAGCTGAAGCGTGTTTAAATCCAGGGGATTATTTATTGTGGAAGAAAATTTTTTTCAAATTGTGCATGGGTCAGGCCATTCGCAAAACTGCTCACAACATAAACATTACAAAAGATATGTTAACTGGAGAAGGTGACTTTGCTGCCACAAATAAATAACTTTTGAATTGCAAGTATATGAACAGATTTAAATAGCTGCCATAAGGGACTGGAGGGAACTTCCTTCAAAGGATGAGATGTCCCTAATTTGACCTCTATTGGCCAGAGCACTGCTGAACCTTCTCAGAATTTTGTAGCATGGCTATAGCAGGCTACTGAAATGACTGAAAAATTTAGAGTCTAACAAGTTAATTGTTCAACAATTCACCTTTGAAAATGCAACGGTGTAAAGACGTGCTAAAAGCCCATAAAATCTGGGCTATGCTATCCGATATGATTTGGATTTGTGCAAACATTGGCACCTCATACATACAAGGCTTTTTTTTTTTTTAACTACTGCTTCAATTTGATTGCGCATTATTGGATTATTCAAAAAATTTAAATCTTCTCGTTTCACTTTTTGTAATTCACATGTATCTAGGAATCACTCCATTTTCTTCTCCAAATTTTTGATATATAGGTTTGTGAAGTAATTTTAGTTTTCCAGATTTTTGGTGAAAAGAATATGTATTGTATTTTTGGGTAGAACATTGTATATATTGATTAAGTTCATTTGTGCAACTTG